AAGTTCTGGGTTATATACGTTTGTTACAGGATGGCCTCAGGGAGATCAGAAAAATGACCCTGGAGGTTAAGCTTCAGGAACATAGTTTTGAAAAAAGTAATGGGGCAAATTTTAAGGAGAAGAAATGTTGGAAAGATGGGTGAGAAGAGCTCAGAGGTCCTGTAGCTTATCTGTTACATATGTATTAATGCAAATATAGGGGTGGAGGGACACAAAAAGCCCTAATCTTTGAGCCTCACCAATTACGTACACTCCTCGGTTGAGGTCAGGGGTTTACAAGAGACATTCCTGCCTCCTAAATGTAGCTACCATCTAGATGATACCCAAAGACACCTCTATCTCCCCTAAATTTCCCCAGGTCCCCCAGTATCTCCCATCTGGAGGTTGTCTCAGGAATTGTTTGCAAGGGAGGCAGTAACAGTTATAGCCTGACAAAGGAGTCCTAAGCTATAATGTTGAAAAAACATTTTACTCAGAGGAAATTTCATGTACAAAGGCTCAGAGGCCAGACGAGAAAGCCAAGGGCTGTGGACAGAAAACAGGGAGGAGGCAACAGGCAGACCATTACAGAGCACCTTGAGCTTTGCAATACAGAACTTTCTTTGTGGGAAAGAGGCTGTTTTAGTACAAAACCTTTCCATCTATTTCATTTAAAGAAATAAGCTCCTCTCAACTTCAACGTCTAGACTTTAAAACTGTAAAGTGTATTTTTAAAGCCTCTTTTAAAGTAAATTGGACTTGTTTGCAGTCCACACACATGCCCACTGGTAATCCCTCCAGTAGTCTAAAAATAAAATTACAAGGAGAATTGGCAAACATGAAAGTCTTTAATAACATAAAATTTACAGTATTTGAAAGTCAGTTTTTACTATATTAAAATGGATCATTTTCAGAGCTCAGGTTATTAACTGATTGTAAATTGTGGAACATTAATGCTTTCAGGACACAAAGGCAATACTTTCTGAATTTCTGAGAATCAGTATGATATCAAGAAAGAAGATATACTTTATTTACCTTCCTGGTTCTCATCTAGTAGCTGATCTAACAAGACCTGCCTTGTAAGGTTGTTGGATGTGAAGGATATGGAAGTATATGTAGCACCTAGCAATAAGAAGCACTCAGTAAATTGTGACTGCTATTACCATTGTGAACACAAAGGAAATTTCAATAAACATTTGTTAAGTGTTACAATGTGCAAGACACAGTTGGACAGTTGGAATCTAGGTTTACTTTGTTTCATCTTTTGTTTTACATTATTAACATTTTAATCATAGAGAAAAGTATAGCAAATAAACAGCAGATATGTGGCAGATAATTTGTTTTAACTCCCTATGATTTTTGACTGTTTGAAAATCAGAATTTGTCCACCCCCTCATAATATTGGCACTAAACATGTCTCCTGGGAGAATTTCTTTAAGACACACATTAAGAAGTGGAATTACTGGGTCACAGGGTATGATAACCTTTGCATTACCAGGGTGTTCTCCAGAGTGGCATACCATTTTCTTTCGTACCTAGCATTGTGCATTGTAGGTGCATTCTCATTTACCAAAACTGGATGTCAGGCATTTTAGTTTTTGCCAACATTACAGGTATGAAATGATATCTCCTCTTCTAACTTATGTTTCCCTAATTACTAATGAGGTTGAGTTACCGTTTCATATGTTTTTGCCTATTATAGATTACCCTGAAGTAAACTTTCTGTTCATTTATTTTGATCATTTCTAAAATTGGAAAATTGGTCCAGTTTTTGAGTTGTGGAATTTTAGAAACACATTCTTTACCAGTTATATAAAATAGTCTCAAAGTCTATTATTTTTCTTTTTATCTTTGTTTATAGTGAACATAGGTTTTCTCATCTGAAAAAATAAAAACATCTACTTCATATGATAAAATACCTGAAAGTTCTTTGTCAAGTGTCAGACACTGATTATACATTCAGTAAAAGTGAGTTCCTTCATTTACCCTCAACCTACATCCTTAGTAAATTCATAAATGAATAACAGAAGAATGGTTATAGGTATGATATCTGGAGAATAACAGATTTGGTTTTAAATCTCAACTTTACCACAACTAGCTGTATGAACTTGGCCCACCTAGCTCAAGCTCTTTCAGCTTCAACTTCCTCGTTTGTACAAGTGGAGTAATACTACTTAACTCACAGTGATATTGTGAGGAATGAAGAGTTTAGTCCAGTGGCTGGCCAACGGAAACTTCTCAACATATGGTAGCTGCTGTCACCATCATCATTATTAGGGGGGGATACGAATATATACAATTAACTATAATATAGAACAAAATATCATTAAAACGCCCTATAAAAATAATTAAATGCCATTGGAATGTAGAGATGGGAAGAGGTAACTTCTAGCTTGGGGCCAAGAGAGAGTGAATGGAGGCTTCCTAGAGGAAATTCCATTTAAATGGACATTAAAAGAAGTCAGAAATTGAGAAGAAGGACATTCTAGCAAACAAAAGTGATGCATAGGGTAACATAAACACACATATAGGTAACCATATGTATTATAGCTATCTATGCTGTCTGCCAAAGTATAGGAACATCTAAGTCAAAATCAGAAGCAAGCATTCATTTTTCAGATTATTAGGGTACTCTATGCATTAAATGGTAACTCAGGATTTAATTAGTATTCTAAGTATAAATATGAAATATGGTTGGCTTTGGAATAAAATTTGGTATAGTAAGATCTGTGGAAGAATTACCCAGACCTGGGAGTGTTAAGAAAATGGGGGTATTAAATATGACTGGTATACAGAAAGCAAACAGATATAGCTGCCCAATGAATGGCAGGTGAGCAGCCTACCAATCTTGAGAGCTGGGCTTGGTGGCTGCTCACTTACTTCCTTTCTAGGAATCGGCAACACACAATTTTCTTTGCTAAACAGGGTAAGTTCTGAAACCCGATCCAGAAAATCACACCTTTTCTCACTCATTTTTCTTATACTGGCTCTGGAAATTATGGCCAGCCTAATTTCCTTCTTTCCTTCCTCCATCCTTAATTTCTTTCTTTCTTTTTTTTTTTTTTTTGGGGCAGCCGGGTCGGGGGGGGACGGGGAGGTGTAGAGTCTCCCTCTGTCCACCCAGGCTAGAGTTTAGTGGCATCATCTTGGCTCACTGCAACCTCTGCCTCCTGGGTTCAAGTGATTTTTATGTCTCAGCCTCCTGAGTAGTTGGGAACACAGGCGCCCACCACCAAGCCTGGCTGATTTTTTTTTTTTTTTTTTTTTTTTTTGTATTTTTAGTAGAGACAGCGTTTCCTCATGTTGGCCAGGCTGATCTCAAACTATTGACCTCAAGTGATCTACCTGCCTTGGCCTCCCAAAGTGCTGGGATTACAGGTGTGGGCCACTACGCCTGGCCTCTCTTTCTTTCCTGAAAGAAACAAATTTCATTCAGTATATTTTGTCTTAAGTAAAATGTTCCACTTATTATCCACTTTTGTCATACCTATTCTACAAATTAAAATAGCATTTGACTGTATTAAAATATAGGAGATTATCTATTACTGTATTTCTCATGTTCTTTCTAGTTTCTTTTCCTTTTCATTTTTATAACACATGAACAATTACTTTAAAAGTGATTATGTCTTACATTGTTGCTTTTCTTAACAACTTATTATTTATTTACTTGACAGAACTGAACTATGAATCTGTTATCAGATTCAGTTGCAAATCCTATCACAATAAAATATCTGAAGTTAGAACTGTTATTTTTTCTTAGCAAACCCATGGTTTGAGCATGATGAAATGATTTTCTCAAACAGAAAATGGTGGGCATTTCTGTATACAAAACACAAATAAACTGTATCAGCAGGGAAACTCCAACCACTCAGATCCACAAGAATCCTAACCATTTCTAAAGGAAAAAGCCACTGTATTTTTCTTTTTCCAAAATTTATTCTGCTCATGGCAATTACCATGTGTGCATGGATGTAGCTAAAATGATCACTGTGGGATCAACAGTTCTTTCTTCACTGTCTACCAGTTTTTTTGCTTGCCTCTGGCATAAGTAAATAAACAGCAGGTATAGTCACCACTCAGTAAATATTACATACTTACAAATTTCTAAAATACAACGGAATAAAAAATAACAGGAAGAATCTGTGGCGTTTATTGGAATCTGAGCTATACTGCTTGCATCCACACAAATACAGACAGAAAGGATCCTATGGTTGTTCACAAACTGTGGACCATGACCCTGGGATCACAACCCAGAATTAACCTGCCACTGAATAGAGTTAGTACCTTCTTCTCTATATTACATTTCTACAACAATGTCACAATCTTAAAATAATACTTTCTATCCTTTAGTAACTTCTAATTTTCACCTGGATATGCTGTATGCATAGCATTTATTTCTATAACAATGGTCACTTCTTTCTTCAGAGCAAAAAACACACATCTTTCTTCAGAGCAAAAAACAAACAGGTCTCTGAAAATAGGTGAATTTCTAGCTCTTCATGGTCCTGAAAATTGATTTCAGTCTTTGCGAAGAATGAAGAAGTGAATTCGCTACACATTTGTCACCAGTACTGGGTTTTAGTTTTTTGTTTGTTTTTCTGCTTAATTTCAAAGATAAAATGCAGTTACTTTTGGGGGTAGAAGGCTCATCTTACAACATGAGCATTAAATATATTTGGAATAGCCAAAGCTTAAGTAATTTCTTATGTATAGTTAAAGCAGTACTTCAGTGGGACTTACAAGTATTTTTTCATCACTGAAAGGTCTTTTTTAATCACTAAATTGTACTTGGAAATTGCAAGTTGCCTGCAGATAGGGCCGTGATACTGTGCAACAAAGAAACCAGGGCTCTGATACTGTGAAACAAAGAAACCAGCACAAAAAACTAAAGGTTAGAATATTTTCCATATTTAGTTACTCTTGTTACAAAACATGGAATATTTTGAAATAATTAAGTCAGCTTTGCTGTAGTAACAAATAACCCCAAATCTTCATGGTTTATAAGAACAAAATTTTCTCACCACAGTGGTTTGGATGCAGGTCAGGAGCAGCTTGGTTTCTGTTACATGACTCTCAATCTGTGACCTTTGCAGAAGCAGCAGCCCTTATTTTGGTCATGCCACTTTCATGGCAGAAGTGGCAGAAGGAATTGACCAAGAGGGCTGGTGGAAACCTGTGCTGACTTTCAAAACTTCTGCTCAGATGTAATATATCTGTTCACATGTCACTGGCCAAAGAAAGTTACACATTTAAGCCTAACATCAGTGGTGCAAGGATGTGTACTCTTCTCATAAGAGGTACTGCATACCACATAGAAAAGGAAGGGAGAAAGAACAAGCGGAGAAAAATATAATCTATGACATGCAGGAAGACAGTAGTTTATAAGCAAAAAGCCATCTTAAAGACTTTTCCAAAATACTTTTCTTCCCCTTTCTATATCAGTCAACAAGCCCATACAAAAGGGAGTGTACAGAAGATATTCCATCCAACTGTGACTGCCATGCTAGGTCTATGGCAAGAGAAGGATATAATGTAGGAAAAAGTCCAGCCCTTCCAGACTATGGGAGATGGAAGTGCAGCAAAGGAGCCCTGACTTCCTCAGCCTGGAGATAAATCAGGCTGATTTATTAAACAAGTGAGGATAAAACTAAAGGTGAAGTGCCCACTCTTTCTTCATGTTTGGGAGTCTAGAGAAGATCAGCTCTCAGGCAATCTCTACCACAACATGGAGCACAGAAACAGTGACTGAGGGTTTTAGCAGGCCTGGTAGAGAACAGTCTGAGGTTCAGGTTTCCTGAGCTCCCATAGTTCCCATAAGGCACGGACACTGAGAGATTATAAGGGGGTGAACTGGACAGCAGACACACCAGAGGCTCAGGGGGGTGCAACAAGAAGTCAAGGGGAGGCCCAGGTAGCCAGAGTGCTACTGGGCTCTGAGCAAGCAGCCTGTAGCCACATATTTCAGCTATAAATGACAGCAGAAGTGGATGAGGGACATTGCAACTGAGACCAGGAGACACCTACGGCCATCATTTATGACCTCACCCCAAGGGACTATCTGAATTACTGGATCAGTTTAAGCTTTAAACTACAGTGGGTATTCAGGTAATTTTTCTCTCCTGGGGCTCAGAGGGTAGGAGCACAGGATGAAGGCTGTTAAGACACTGACAAAGAAGTGACATTTTCTCTGAGGAAAACTCAGAGAAATAGACTGAACCACTTCTATTTTATTTGCCACTACATCCACTGCTTTAATAGTGCCTGACATAAGTAGGTATTCAAAAAATATGCTCAGTGATACCATGGATCCCATTACGATTCCCAATGAAGGAATGAATAAGAGGCCATAGAGAAAGGAAACTGATCAACCGACAAAGCTATGATAGAAATACCAGGCAGGTTGAATTGAAAAAACAATGCCAGTTTTATTTTGCCACCAAGCCAAAAAGGTCCCCACTTCACTCCTAAAACAAGCTTGTAGCCTTTATGGAATGGCTACTGCCACCGTATTTAACTTACATTTGGTTCACTGTTTTAAAGCCCTTTAGATAAAACTGCTGCATTCTTTTGCTTCAAGGAAAAAAGAAACCAGAACCATGCTTAGCTTTGCAGGATTTCGACCTTACAGTCACAATAGGAAAGCAACAATAGGAATGAGAATGGGTGATATCTGAACCAATAAACTGACTCTGGCATTCAGAAGCAACTTGATTTTACCTGCCCCAGGATAATTTCAGTGTTAAAGCTGTTAAACCTATAGGTATTCTAGTGGCTAGGATTAGTAAACAGAACATAACAGAGAACAGGACAGAGAAAACATGGTAATGAAAATATAAGGTTGTACAGGGTTGAGATGGAGACTTAGGCTGACATATGCTGATATGGTAACTAAAATATAAGGTTATACAGGATTGAGGTACAGACATATGAAAACGCTATCTTCCACAGTAAATTTGCTTCTCAACACTATAGTAATAACATTAGAATCACCTGTCAGGCTTTAAAACAGAACAGATGCTTGGAGATTCCGATTCAGTTAGGTCTGGGGTGGGGCATATGCCATGCTAATTTTTAATAACTGCACAGGTGACTCTGATGCATAGCCGCAGCAGTCTGCAAGTGAGAACACCTGAAGAACATCATCAGTAAATACTCAAAGAACTAATGAGTGAAAAGCCTCCTTGGATTATAAATTCTTTAAGAGTATGGACTATGTTTTATTCATTTTTGTACTCTACCTCAATGTTTCTTGTAATTAATGAATACGTGAACAAACAAATCATGAATTCTCTGCCTTGGTAGCCTGATGCTCTCAAAGAGACTGGAACATGGGAAATAAACAAAAAAGTTGACAGCTGATGTTGTAAATCTGTACTTCCTTAATGGAATTTCTGGCATAACTTTAGACTGACTAAATGAGACTGAACATTTGTGATCATTACAACACTGATTTTTTACAAAACTAATTTTTGTTGAACTGGGATGAGGGGTGGGGGAAGGAGGAGAAATTGGTGCTCTACTAAGATTTACGTAACAAAATCCCATACCCAGGGTGAGAGTATTAAAAGCAGCATCAGAAAGCCACTCCATTTATAAATCCTGATTCTGCCCTCTACTGTTTGTTTATTTTTTATTTACTTTTCCTTGAGCAACAATATAATGTACAACTGAAAATATCTAGTGTTACTGACAAGATTTGTAATTCTGCACTACTTTGTGGGAATGCATAATGTGTTACTCACTTCAAAGCCCTGGATGAAGGAGGCAAACAGGGATTGACTCAGTGAAACTTCTAGCTTCCTGTAAGCTTCATTCATTGCCAAGCTTTATGGAAACAAACCTTATGCTAGGAAAAAGCAATTATGTTTCACTTTCTGCCTCTCCCTAGTTAAACACTATAATCAAAGGCAACTCCACCTTGTAGCAAAGCTCAGTGATACTGTGGATACCATTATGATCCCCAAAAAAGAGAAGGTGAAGGAGGAGGAAGATGAAAGTTTTGCATGATTTGACTCTGTCTCCATGAAATCTGCAGTCTTTCTGTCACCCTCACACTTGAAGTTACATGAAAAGGAGGAAGACGAAGTGCTGGATGCGAGATACTTAAGAGTGCAAAGTCTGAAAAAGGTAAGAGAGAGAATAATGGTCTGAACTAAATAGGGAGAAGAAATCTATTCTCTATTACAGCAGCAAGAAGTTGCCAAAGCAAGTTTTCCAAATGAGACCAGGGGAAAAAAAAAATGAAGCAGCAGCCCTAAAGTGATACAGAAGGAGTGTTAGAGTCTCCTAGCCAAAAGTTCTGGCAGAGTGACTAGACACTCACATGCTCTACAACCCTAGTGAGCCTAGTGCTCTGGGCTCCCACCTGCCTGCATGGATGGATGCTGCACACTCAACTATCTGCTTGGCTGATAAAAATAATTAGAACAGGTGGTGTAGATGAAGGCTGAAGTCCTTGAAAAGTGCAAGAATATAAAGTTCTGCCCAGGGCGTCTCTTCCACGGAGGAGAAAAAAGCCACACGAAACTGGATATTACAGTTATCTTATCATATCTATGAAAATATAAAAACAAAATCATGTTTGTCTTAGTCCATTTGGGCTTCTAAAACAAAATACCATAACCTGGGTGGCTTATAAACAACATAAATTTATTTCTCACAATTCTGGAGGCTGAGAATCTAAGATTAAGGTGCCAGCCATTCATGATGTCTGGTAAGGGCCCTCTTCTTGGTTCATAGATGGTGCCTTCTTGATATGTCCTCATATGGTGGAAGGGAAGAAATCTGGTATCCTCAACCCCTTATAAGGTCATTAATCTCAATCATGGGGGTTTTATCCTCATGACCTAACCACCTTGCAAAGCCCCCATCTTCTAATACCACCACAATGAGAATTAGGTTTCAACATATGAATTTTGCAGGGGATATAAATACTCAGTCCATGGCAATGTTAGTCCCTTTTGGTCCTATTTCATGTACTCCAGTATTTGGTGGCTATTTCCAGGGTATTCCCCAATCATCTTATTCTTACATCTGCCTTAAGATTACTTGAATGTTACAGAAACTGAAGATGGGAACATCCTTCATTTTTATCAAATGATTATTCTGTTCCAACTCTATAGATTACAGGTGCAGATATTTATTGATCAGGTCCCTTGAGAGCTATTTGAAAATTCAAACAGGCTAGAAAATAATTACTACAAGTCTATAATGCCCAAAACAGCATAGTACTGTTACTAAAACAGGCACATAAACCAATGGAACAAAATGGCCCAGAAATAAGGCCATACATCTACAACCATCTGATCTTCAACAAAGCTGACCAAAACAATAGGGAAAAGACTCCTTATTCAATAAATGGTGCTGAGAAAACTGGCTAGCCATATGCGGAAGATTGAAACTGGATCCCCTCCTTACATCATACGCAAAAATCAACTCAAGATGGATTGAAGACTTAACTGTAAAACCCAAACCTATGAAAACCCTGGAAGACAACCTAAGCAATACCATCTTGGATATAGGCACAAGCAAAGCTTTCATGACAAAGATGCCAAAAGCAATCGCTATGAAGGCAAAAATTGACAAATGGAATTTAATTAAACTTAAGTGCTTCTGCATATCAAAAAAAAATTGTCAACAGAGTAAACAACCAACCTACAGAATGGGAGAAAATATTTGCAAACTGACAAAGATGTAATGTCCAGTATCTATAAGGAGCTTAAATTTACAAGAAAAAACAAACAACCCCATTAAAAAGTAGGCAAAGGAAATGAACAGACACTTCTCAAAAGAAGACATACATGCAGCCAACAAGCATATGAATAAAAGCTCAACATCACTGATCATTAGAGAAATGCAAATCAGAACCACAAGGAGATACCATCTCATGCTAGTCAGAATGGCTATTATTAAAAAGTCAAAAAGTAACAGATGCTGGTGAGGTTGTGGATAAAAGAGAACACTTATACATTGTTGGTGGGAGTGTAAATTAGTTCAACCATTGTGGAAAACAGTATGGCAATTCCTCGCTACAAAGAGCTAAAAGCAGAACTACTGTTAGACTTAGCAATCCCATTACTGGGTATATACTCAGCAGAAGATACATCATTTTGACATAAAAACACATGCATGTGAATGTTTATTGCAGCACTATTCACAATAGCAAAGATAAGGAATCAACCTAAATGCTCATCAATGACAGATTGCATAAGGAAAATATGGTACATATATGCTATGGAATACTATGCAGCCATAAAAAAGAATGAGATAATCTTTTGCAGGAACATGGATGAAGCTGGAGGCTATTATCCTTAGCTACTAATGCAGGTACAGGAAACCAAATACTGCATGTTCTCACTTACAAGTGGGAACTAAATGATAAAACATAATTTAGCTAATTACAGCTAAATTGTAAGAACTTATAAACACAGAGGAGGAAATAAACACTGGGGTCTATGTGAAGGAGGATAGGAAGAGGGGGAGGAGCAGAAAAGATAACTATTGGGTAGTGGGCTTAATACCTGGGTGATAATTAATATGTACAATAAACTCCTGTGACACATTTACATATGTTAAAAAAAAAAAAACCTTCACATATACTTTCAAACCTAAAAGTTAAAAAAAGTTTTTCAAACTGGTAAGAGGCAAATTTTTTTTTAAGAGGAATTCCAATAAATATCCCAAATGATAGTTTTTGTTTAAGCCTCTTTCTTAATATAGCATAAATCAACTTAATATTTTCATATATAATTTTCATTGTGTATATTCAATTGAAGCTTTCATTTATTCCATTGTTTCTAAGATTTTTCCATCAGAGAACTATACCCTACACCAATAAATAATTCTAATATTTCAAAAATGGTTTTAGTTCTGAGCTAATTTCAAAAATAGAAAGAGAAAATGTAGAATATAAAGATTAAAATCATGGGCATAAAAGTCAAACTCCTTGAGTTCAAATTCTGCTTCTGACACTAACTGGGTGAATTGGGGTAAATTGTTTGAACTCTCTTAGGTTAGCTTCCTCTATAAAATGGGTGGAAAGAGTTTGTCCTTAAAGATTCATAAGAATTAAATAAGATCATTTATGTTTGAGGCTTAGCACATTGTCTGATATTTATTGTTTGATAAAAGGTGATTATGATTCATTTTTATCTGATCTACAGTATAAATTTTCCCATGAAGCATTTATACAGGAAAACACAATAGGCCACAGGCAAGGCATCTCTGATATTGGTCATTAGAAAGACTCCAGGAGTTTGCCTGGTCACACAGGGTTCTGGAATTTAGCCAGGCTGCTGAGTAGAAACTGTTACTCTTGTTTCCTTGTCAATAGTCTGGGCATCTCAATTTTTGATAATCCAAAGTCAATGAAAAACATGCTCCTCAGGCAGGTATCTAATTGAGTGTTGTCTACTTGAAACATACAGTGACATAATTCACCATAAGGGGTTCTTAAAAGTTTACTAATCACACAGGTATGTTACTGTTTATTCAACCCTCCTTTTTCAGCTATTCATGTTTTCAGGTTTCTAGTTAGAATTATTTGACTATCTACTTGTATGGTCTGTTACCCTAACCAAGTAATACCTGTGTGTTGTTTTTAAAGGTTCACTTGGTCTACAATTGGGTTCACAGACTTCTAAACACTGGGAAACTGAGTTACATTCTTCTTATTTGCCACCTACATTAGTGTCTGTTTCTGCATCAGTAAATTTTGCAGTAAAAGATTATTGTGAAATAAGCACATGTTCCCTTTTATACTCCTTTGGGAGTTAATGGGGTTATGTGTTCATCTATCTTAGGAAAATATTTCCCCCTTACTTAGCACTGTCTGGAGCAGGGAGATGTAGGGCTTGCCTAGTTCCCTGCCCCAACTTCCAAGTTGCATCCTCAGCAACTTTATCTAATTTTAGATTTAGCTGTTTTTCCAGGCTTTGGGCAGTCTGAAACTTGGGAACTGAAGGAGAAGAGAAGATTTCAGAAGCCCTAGTCAAATACTGATGAGTTCTATATCAGGCTCAGTCTAGCCCTAACCTAATAAACTAGGTGCTTGTAACTATTTTCCCTCTACCCAGGTTAGGGATCTATCTCACCACCTGTCCACTTGTATATCTAACCCCTTCTTTTTGTTACCTCAGTCCCTAAAGCTGGCTCCCTGAAACAGTGAATGCTGCTTGCTCCCCATTTCCACTGGCCTATCAGAATACTGTTAATTCTTGTTAGAATTCTGTTTTCAATTTCCATATTTGCTTGAGACCTGGTACTATATTTAAAATTTCTGATGAGCATATGTAGCAGTTTCCAGACTTCAGTTCAAGCCCCAAAGAGCCTGCAATCATGATGTCACAGGTGACTTTTCTGGGGCTAAGTCACAAGATGTGGTATCCATACTCAGAAAACACTGTACATAACCAGTGGTTTTAAAATTTTTGTTGTCTTGCCATGCCATGCTGACGAAATGCCATAAAGACCTTAAGGAATATACAATTGCTAGCAATGAAATCAACCTTGAACAGGTTGTATACCACTTAGGTCTGGTCTGACCTCAAGTTTTGAACATTTACACATCTGGAGCATTCTCCTAAGTGTTACTCTGGTGGTGTAAAGAAGCGACCCCTCAGACTTTGCCTGTGCCTGACTGGCTGTGAGTCAAACACACAGTATCCTGGATGACTGCTATTTTGGCATTTGCTAGAATGCCTTTTGCCAAATTCCTTTGGCATTCATTCGAAGTCATCAAAATGTGTTTTATCTCCCAAAGAATATTTAATTTTCTTGTCCAAAAAATGCCTGTTATGATGTGCTTACTAGTGTTGTTAGGGTGTAACAGAAGTAATAAAATTTGGAGACCCTTTTGGACCTGTCAGGGATGTGCCATTATGCAAATATTTCTCTTATTAGAGGCTGGTACCTATTTTTTCTCTGGACCAACTGCCAACTGAGCAGTGTTGATCCCATATTTTAAAATCTATAATGTTTTATATTTTCTGTTTATATATTGTAAAAGTTGAATAGCCCTATGCTATTTTGAGGCATTTAAAAAGGTGACATCGGGTACTTTTTATTTATCAGCTGGGATGCTTTTATTCTGTCCTAAAGCCAACTAAATGGAGTGACTAAAAAATGTTATACATGTGCTCCTGACAGATCTTCCCTGTAGTAAATTCTCTCTAAAGGCACTGCTTGGATGAACTAAGTGAGAAATGTATGCTGACCTAAGAGGAGCCTGTGGCCAAAGAAACTGCATCATATGTCACAAAAATTAAAGGAACAACTCCTAATGCAGCATTGCCCATAATATATACTGAGAGGGCACTTGTCAACAAAATCAAAACAAGACCAGAAATGTCTACTCCAAACTCTGTGGTTTGTTTCAGTCATAACAACCCTTAAGCTAGTGTCAGAGGATGAGGGCACATTTCTCCTGACCAAGGTTGAACTTCTCTCAAGTTCTCCTATTCTCTTTTTTTTTTTTCTATCTCTTCCAGAACTAAGTTCTTTTAATTAGTCCCTATCTTCACTCTCACTCATGCACCTGCTCAACATTTTCTTATCTTCAAATTAAAAAAAAACAAACAAAACTTCCAAGGTCCCTTCTAATTACTATT